CACCTCAACAGCTTTCCATCATCTATAAAGCGCAGATACGGCCTGTTCTAGGATACTGTTCCTACATATTTGGTTTAGCACCAAAACATATACGCTGATGCTCTCAGATTCCATCCAGAGGAGAGCCCTTCGCCTGGTGGGTGACGCCACACTCACTCACTCTTCGACATTATTGGAACACCGTAGAAAGGTCGGCGACCTTTCACTTTCCTATCGATACTTCCACGGGAAATGTTCTTCGGGAATTTCTGCTATCATCCCTTCACTAGCAGTACCAGTCAGACGAACTTGACTAGCCCAGTGAGCACATCCTTTCGTAGTCAACCTCGAAAGATGTCGAACAGCACTTTATCAAAACTCCTCCATTCAAAGAACGGCTAGGCTCTTGGATTCATTGCCTTACGAGGTATTCCCAACAACATATAATCCCCAGAAATTCAAGAAAAATTACAATACCTATTTCCTGTTCCTATCCTCTCTAGGAACGCACGATGTTCTCTGAACATTATAGGAATTTCCATTCGTGCGCTCCAAGCGTAAAAAAAAATATATAATGCACCAAGACAATTTCGAGAGCTCATACTGATAACTCATCAGATGCAGAAGGAAAGTGTGGAGTAGATTGTATCAGAAGAGGGCAAAAGTATTCCATTATTTTTTTTGTGGTTGAAAGCAATACTAGCGATAGATACTTATGAAAAAATATCTCAAGGTATTGAATGTCTCAGCAAGCCATACCGAAAAGAGATCGACAAAAAGGCAGAACCGACAATTCTTGCCACAAGAAAAGTGTCACTGCCACAGACTGGGTGAATGCATAAGTCTTGGTGTAGAAAACTTGATGATAGACCAAGAATATGTCTTGACACGAAATACCTGTACCAGTTCATCAGAAGAGAATATTGTCAAATGCTCACCCTCGGAGAGATCTTATTCAAATCAGTGGAAGCAAGACTTCCTACTTCTCGAATTCTCTTATGGTCTTCCATATGGAATTCAGTCTGAGCCTGAAATCTCTCAAAAATCGCATAGAGGCAGTGAAAGTATACATAAATGACCTCAAAGTATCGCAAAAATGGAAAAAGAGTGCTGAAAAAATGTAGGTTTCGAAATAGGAGAATGTAAGTTTGGACTAATTGAAATCTGATATATGAGCCACAGAATTGAGTGAAAATTCGATATTTCCCCAATATATCTATATTTCTTTTCTTCAAACATTTTTCGAACAAAATTTCACTAACAAGCTACTGAATTTCCCTTTTAGGCTCTCTGATAAAAAAATTTTTTGAACGCAGTGATTTGTTCCACTACAAATATACTCAGTTCCAAAAAAGTGACGCACTTGATATTTGACCTGTCTACTTGAAGAAAAAAAAATAGTATGCCAATTCTTATTTTATTTGTTGGTAGGTAATGCATTTGTCTTGAAAATAAATAAAGGGGTGAAAATTTTTTCAAAGCCTCCTTGATGGTGGTGGAATAACTCGAACCATCATTTATTCTTAATTTTTGACTCACTCTGTGTGTTAATTGAGTGATGGCATAGAAAATGCTTGCACCCTATACGAAAGAGGCTTCTTTTGCGAGCATTTTGTACTTTTATTCTTTGATTCATCTCAGAAATTTTCCGAATTACAGCTTTTTTGCTGATACCTAACGCTCATCCCACAAATTGAATTTATTGAAGGATCAGAGTACTCAGAATTGATTGGGATGTACTCTGATAGAATCACATTGTCTAAAAATGAAAACAAATGCCGTTGCCATAGCAACTGATTTGTTGTATGCCTCCATATTTGACCATTTGTCGTTGTGTCATTGAGTGAGTGTCTTGTTTTTTTGACTGAAATTACATAAAATGCCTCAGATAAATCCTGAACAAGTAGCAAGATTAGTTGCGTTAGTAAACGATGGGTGTAGTGAACGTTACGCCGCTCGTGCAGTGGGAGTTCATGTAGCAACTGCTCGTAGAGCAATACGCAAGTAACTACAAACAAACAGGAAGCACTGCTTGGAGGGTCGGTTCTGGTTGCCCCTGGAAAACTTCTTCAAGAGATGATCGCTTCTTGGGATTGCGGATATTACGGAATCGATCGAATAATGCGTTAAATGTTCAGCAAGATCATCGCCAAATTCGTGATGTTGCAGTAAGTGAACAGACGGTACGTAGACGTCTTAAAGGAGTTGATTCACAAGCTAGGAGACCTGCGAAAGGTCCCAAATTATTGCCCGAACATTGTGCTGCTAGAAGAAATTTTGTTGAAAATTATGGACAGTGGAATATTCCTGAATGGTCGGATGTCTTGTTTAAGGAAGAGTCAAGGTTTTGCCTTAACATGGTGGATGGAAAAAAATAGTGTGGAGAAGAACTGGTGAACGGTTTAATCAAGATTTGATAACAGAATGCGAAAGTATTGATGGTGGGTCCGTTATGGTGTGGAAATTTATTCCATTGAATGGAAGGACACCTCCTCATGTTTTTCTGGTGAGGCAGTCGATGAATGCCCACATTAACATTGACATTTTAGAGCAGTATATTTCACCTTATGCAGAGTTGGTGGGCAATAATTTCATATTGATGCAGGATAATGCCCGACCACACACCGCAGCAATAGTGCGAAACTTCCTAGAAGCTACTGGTATAACCACATCACAATGGTCTGCGAGAAGCCCCGATATGAAACCTATAGAACATTTGTGGAATGAATCATGGAGGTGGGTACGTTCTCGCGAGAGGTATCCGGAAAGTCTCGCAGAAATGGCAGATGCATTAGTGAAAGAATGGGATCGAATACCAATAGAAACGATAAGGAACTTAATTAAGTATGCCTCGTAGATTAGAAGTTCTCAGAGTTGCTAGAGGAGGCAATACACGGTATTAAGCAGTCATCCCAATTCATTATTTTGTGTTCGATAAAAATGTTTCTTCAAATTATTGGTATCAGTTTATTTCATCAGGAAATTGTTTCTCGATAAATTCAGAAAGTTGGTAATCTGCAAGGATTCAGCCAAAAAAGCTGTAGTTCGGAAAATTTTAGAGATAAATAAATGAATAAAGAAACGAAATGCTCGCAAAAGGAGCCTCTTTCGTATAGAATGTGAGCATTTTTTATGCCATAACTCAATTAACACACAGGGTGAGAAAAAAAACTAAGAAAAAATCATGGTTCGAGTTACTCCACCACCATCAAGGAGGCTTTGAGAGAATCTTCACCTCTTAATTTTTTCCAATGACAGATGCATTACCTACCAACAAATGAGGAAAAAATCGGCTCACTATTTTTCGTTTTTTTTTTTTTTTTAGGAAAATTGATCAAATATAAAGTGCGTCACTTCTTTTGGTACTGAGTGTGAATTGAAATAATACGCATATTTTGATTTTATAGAAACGAGGAGAGAAAATCCCAAAAAATCGAGTAAAATCAGTAGCTATTGAATTGGTATACAAAAAGCAGTCAGTAGTTGTGCCCAAAGCCACACACACATACAGATTAGGGCCCAACAAATGCCTGAAAATTGCCCAAGAATATCTTTGCTGGCCCTATACGACAAATGGAATAAAGCAGGCGATTTCACAATGTACTATCTGTTCGGAATTGTCAGAATTCCACATTCTTGAGTCATTCGATACTCATCAGATACCGGAACTATCTTAAAACAAATTGGACATAGATCTTTCTGGAATCCAAGGCAACAAATATTCACTTCTAGTACACTATTTCTCTGAATACATGGAGGAAGTCAGGCTCAACATCAACAAAACGAGTCAGACTATGGTGAATAATTTGAATAAGATTCTTGCCAGACATGGCATCCTCCTCACCCTGTCAGGGTGGAAATTATATCTAGTTGTTGCCTCACCACGTTACCATCAGTCAAATGGTATGACAGAAAAGCATATTCTTCCAACAGAACAAAATATCAATATTTTGAAATATCTCTCCAGCAGAAATATCCATGTCTTGAGTATCACGTTTCAAAAACCACCGACAAACGAATGTCTGAAACTGAAAATTACGCAATCCTAATATCCTAGACAACTGATTGAATATAAATACAATGATGAAGGAGAAGGGATTCATGTTCATCAAATGTGAATAACGAAGTACTTATACGAAAGTTTCCGAAGTCTAAATGAACTCATCTAGTAATACTTGAGGAAATTAGTGACAGGACTCAAGTTCGACTGGAAAAAATCTCAGAAATCATCGGAAGTGTAAGGTTCCTTGAGCCATGTGTATTTAGTGAGAAGGGAGTTTTAGCTATTAACATTCCAAATGGTTCAGTAAGCAGAGAGGACTTTGAGTTTATTGTGTCTTCTGTTGCACCCCAAATGTTTCAGAATCCTTCGTACCGACTGAAAATTCAGGAGAATGAGAGTTGTTATATAAATCTAGTGACGGGCTCAATGTTAGTGGAGTGAAAAGTTCCACAGATGCAGATGAATGTAGTATCGTAGATGATCAACTAATCGACACAGAATCAGACCCTGGAGATAGTTTTCTGAATAGGCCACGAACTATTCTATTGGGGAGAGTAACCAGACTCATTCAGAGACTGAATTTGTGATAGAGTGTAAGGAATAGGTAACTTCGCTGACTGTTACTATTTAAGTACCAGGTTATGTAAGGGTAGATGTGACGTATGCAATCAGGTTTACTGCTCTAGGTATGGTTAATTGCATATAATTATCTCGGATCAAATGCATCCTGGATAATAAAATGAAACCCTTGTTTATTGAACATCACAGTATCTATATTCCTCCTTTTCAATCATTTCTCAGAACAAAGAGTCACTAACAAAAGTTTTCTTTGGGGCTCTCTGGTGAAAAAAATTTGAATGCATCATTATCCTCAAAAAATTCATCTGATTCGTTCTCACTACACTTACATTGAAATAATACCTATGAGAAAACTCTACACGATATCATCTAAATGAAAGCGGAGCCAGAAGGCATAATTGACGATTTTTTCCTGAGATTTTTCTATTCTCTATTCCAGATAATTGACCAAGTACATGATGGTACAGGCGGAGACGTTACAATCATGAATGGTGGTGTTGGTTCCGAGTATGTTGAGATCCACATAACTTCCAAAATATGGAGAGGTCTGAAGTACAAAGTCCAAGTTTTCACAGCTGGATCTTCAACACGCATACCAGAAACGTCATCGTCACCAATTGTTACCGACAGTACTTCAGGAAATTCTTCATTCCCTGCTATTCCAACTTCACCCACTGATTAAGTCAAAAAAATGTAATTCAAAATGAGAAATGAATAATTTATATGAATTGAATCAGTGGAACGAAAGTGTAATATATGACACAGAAAGCGTTGTTCGAGTGTTCTTCAGGCAGTATAGACCCGACAAATAGGAACGTGACTACATGACTTGACTAATTCACATGTAGTTGATAGAATATTTCGTCTCAATTTCATATAACTGGCTGTGTAGTAGCTTTTGGTATAACATTAATTATGTGAATTCTTTTGTGGAAAGGGTTGAATTAGTTGGTTTCTTGACGGTTCGATATTTTTGAGGATGCTCAATCCGAATCTGAATACAGCAAACAAAATTCCATAGAGTGTTCCGATATATTCGCGAGAAACCCGCAATTGGGCTACAATTCATTTCGTTCATGAAATCGACATTATTTTCTGATCAGGTTCATGTGTTTAACCTCGATACACTCGAGTTGAGCTTCGGTTATTTATATTCATTTGCTGGGGTTATTGGGTTTTTGCTCCCATTCAATGTTGGTTTGACATGACTGACCATTCTTGATAATAAACTTCCTCTCGAGTTTCTATAAAGACCATCTTCAATGAGATTCTCAACAATTTTATTTCAATCCTATTATGATTCTTCGAATTTTCGTTTTGTTGCGTTTGTTATTAATGATATTTTGGCGAGTTTGTTCTCTTCCTGCTTTTGTATGAAGTTCTTTCGAAGGTTCGGTAAGATAATGAATTGTAGATTCACACATAGAAAAACGGTCCAGGTACACAAGTACACTTGGGTTGAATTTTAAACCCACAAATATATCAATGAACTTTTGTAATATTACAATAGGTGAAATTTTTTTTCTGATATCGACTTCCAGTGGCAGGTTAACTATGCTCCTGGAACAGGTGTAACGATTATTTCGTTCCATTGAGATGTTTTTCAATCAATCAACCATTTAATTATCTGCCATCCATTCGTTCTTCTATCTACTTCCGCTTATCAGCCCTTCACCGGTTCAATAACCATATCGAATTTATCAAGTCTTGCGCGCTCCTCCTTCCCGCTAGACAGCGACACAGAAGATCGAAGAAGGGAGACTAAATAACCAATCAGGAGAAGGGATTGAAATGACAGGATCATTCTCGAAGAACGAATAGGAAAATAAAAGTCCTTCTGATCTGAACTACAGACTTGAAATGTTGAAGTGATAGGTTGTGGGAATTGAAGATATCTGGTAGGTCTGGATCTATCTTTATTTTTCGAGTGTAATAACTTGTCATCGCAGACATTTGGTTTGTTAGAGTTGATTATTACATATTGAATTGAATATTTATTGATATATTTCTGATCGAAATTCATTTTGGTGAGAGATGATTGCATTCGAGTAAATTGAGGTTACAATTCATATCGGATTGTTTCTTATGTAAAAATTGGTCATCGATATCAATTCATTGGATATTTGAGTTCTTTCTATATTTTATTAGCACTTTGTGATAATATTTTCGTGAAATTGACAAATATTTAAGTCATATCAATTCATTTCAGCTTAAGGTTAAGTACTATACCTGGATTTCTCTGCCTTGTCGCTCAAATTTTGCTTTGTATAAATTTTTGCTATCAACATCAGCTTCGTTGCTAATTTTTTCCTCATTCAATAAGTTGAAAACAGTATCTACTCTTTTAAACATTTTTCTAGGTACCTATTGAAAATTCGAAACGCCATCGAACTTTCCTCAGAAGTTTATCCAGGAAACCTGAAATGAAGTTTCCTCTGTGTCTCGTCCAGGAACCTTGAGCCTACAGGACCTAGAGCCTTGAAGTTGAACCTTGACGTCCAGGCTGTACCTTTCCAGGATTCTTTCTCACAAGCCGAAGCTTTTGCCATCACTCACGGCTTAGAGCAGCTTATCAAAGAACCCACACGAATTCCCGATGCCAATAACCATTCAGCTAACATACTTGACTTATTCCCCACTAATAATTCAGCACCATACACCATAGATGTACGAGCTCCACTTGGCAATTCTGACCACACACTCATCTCCACAACGTGCCCATTCTTCATTCCATCAACTGCTCCGGCACCCCCACGTCTTATATGGCATTACAATTCAGGAGATTGGGACGGTCTCCGCATGTTTTTCTCCGAATTTCCTTTCACAGTGTGCTGCGGAAATGTCCGAGATCATCATGCTCGGAATAGACACATACACACTGTTTTATAGGTTTTTATTGATCCAAATTATAAATTATACATGATATCAAAATTGACAAAATGTTTGTTATTCGTCTCCTCGACAACCTTCACCATTACATAAACTCACACTAGATTTAAATGCATATGAACCTACTGGGTGTACAATCCTAACATCTCCCTTTCAACAACAACTTTTTTAAGAATGTAATCTATCTGGAGGTTTTATTATGCGACCTCCTCTTGTGACGTAACCTTAACTAGACTGATGTGAATTATCACTTGTTGAACTACATGAACTGTGTGTTTTTGTTACAGGAGAACATTCTTTTTCTAATACATAATTTTCTTCAGATTGGTGATGGTCTACTGGCATTAATGAATCATCTATAGAAATATGATGATTTCTGACGTCTTCCTTTCCTCCTGCATTTGTAAAATTATCAGGTGTACAATGATTTTCGATCGAACTATTTTAACTATTATGATCGATTCTGATGAATTTTCTGTTTCGATAATATTCAGAACCATTGTGCACCTTTACAACATAATATGTCCTATCTCTAACTTGCTTTGTCACAATTGCTGGTATCCAATGATTAATGTTCGGATTCAATTGAACAAAAACTTTACATCCAATAGTCAGTTGAGATAGACGGTGGACCCCCTTTAGATTGTAGTATTTCTCTTGATTCACTTGATTACTTCTCAGAACGTTATGAAATTGCTCTCTATCCGCCAATTTAGGTACTAAACTTGAACCAGTACATGGTAATAACGTTCTCAATTTACGAGACATCAAAATCTGAGCTGGTGAAAAATTCTCTTCTATTGGCATGTTACGATATATCATCAGCGCTAAATATATATCATTATCATCCTCAATTACTTTCCTAAAAATATTCTCAGCATTTTGTACATTGCGTTCAGCCATGCCATTTGATTGAGAAAATGTTGAAGAACTTTCAATATGATCAAACTCCCATTCATTGCAAAAGTTCTCGAATATTTCAGAGGAGAATTGTGGACCTCCGTCCGAAACAAATGTAAGAGGAATACCGTGTCGTGCAAATATTGATTTCGTAGCACCTATAATTGCCTTACTTGTTGTATCTCTAGTAAGTCTTTCAATCTCCACATATTTAGAGTAATAATCTATAACTAACAGATACTTTTTCCCATTCAATTCAAAAAGATCACATCCTACTTTATTCCATGGAAGATAAGGAATCACATGTGACTGAAGTGGTTCTGAAGATTGTGAATTTGCATACTTTTGACAAGTATAACAATTCATTTTAGTTTGCCTAATGTCGTTAGTCATATTTGGCTAAAAAATAGACTCCTGCGCTAATTTCAAACACTTATTTATACCTAAATGATTGTAATGGACTCTCTGTAACATATCACCTCTCAAACCAGAAGGAATCACTAAACATTGGCCTTTGTAAATCAGATCATCTACTATAACTAATTCATCCCGATATTTGTAATAAGGCTGGATTTCATATTTGAGTTTTTTAGATGATTTTGGCCAGCCATTCAGTATTATTTGTTTCAATTGAATCAAAGCCGAATCAGTAGAGGTTTGATATTTGACTTCTTTAATTTTTTTCTCTGTAACGTTGATCTGAAAAGTTACTAAACATACTTGAGCATTTATTTCATTATCAAAATTCCCATTTGATATATCATTTAAATAAGCTCTAGAAAATGTATCTGCTATAATCAGATATCTTCCTGGCTCATACACTAATTCGAAATCATATTTCATAATCAGAAGCAACATTCTCTGTAAACGAGCTGGACACTTATTCAAGGGTTTCTTTATTATTGATATCAACGGTTGATGATCAGTATCAACTGTTATTGGTTTTCAAAATGAATATTCGTGGAACCTTTCTAAACCAAAACATATTGCCAATAGTTCTTTTTCAATTTGTGCATATCCAACTTGCGTATCATTCAAAGCTTCAGAGGCGTAGGCACAAGGAAGATCATTTTGCAGTGATACTGCACCCATTCCAGATTTCGAACTATCTACTGATATAACTGTCTTTTTATCAACATCATAGAACTGTAATACTGGCTCAGTGACTTATATTTGCTTTATTTCATTGAATTCAACCTCTTGATTTTTACCCCATTCAAATATTATATATTTTTTCAACAACTCTCTGAGGGACTGTGTTCTTCTTGAGAAATTGGGAATAAATTTACTTACGTAAGTTGACATACCAAGAAGTCTTCGCACTTCTTCTTTAGATGATGGTCTAGGCATATTCGTTATGGCACTCACCTTTGATCTATCTGGTGATAATCCAGTTGAAGATACTGTATGTCCCATATACTTGACCATAGATTTGCCAAAATTGCATTTGTCTAAATTGAATGTCACATTATATTCTTTGGCAGTTTGTATAACATATCTCAACCTGTTTTCATGTTCGTCTTTATTTTTTCCCCAAATTATTATGTCATCAATATGAATACCACACCCTGCACATGAACTGAAAATAGTCTTAAACCTATCTTGAAAAACTTCTGGTGCCGACTTATTACCGAAAGGCATCCTCAAAAACTTGTAACGACCGAGATGTGTACTAAAAGTGCATGAATTTTAACTGCATTCATCAAGTGTTATCTGATAAAATCCATTTGCAGCATCTGATGTGCTAAAACAGGTAGCCCCAGACATTTTACTAACTATTTCTTCTGAAGTAGGGATTTGGCAGTATTCTCTTTTAATGACAGTATTCAAATCCTTTGGATCCGAACATATTCTCAATGAACCATTCGGTTTCTTTACTAATAC